TTACAAATAACCTTCTCCAGTGTCTTTCGATTGTTGGTACTGACTCCACGGGCAGCCCCACGACCTTTTCAGGATCCAATGCTGGTGGGAATAACCAAGCACAGGTGCATCTCGGCGTCCTGCGCGCGCTTTTCTTTTTCTGTAACTGTGTGTGCGAATCCTATTTTCACCGACGTCCGGAGTTTTTTGACATTTCTCTAGATTTGCTTCGCTTTGTGTACCTCTACCATAGCGATATCCCATGTCTCGTAACCGATGCCAACCTCCTCCTGCTCCACATTATCACGAATGGCAATAGCAGCAGCGACTTCCTCGGTTCCGACAAACTCCTTGCCATTGTTCGGGCGGTTGCAGAGGATGCTATTCCGTCCCTTCGTGCAGCAAATAAGGCGGACCCCTCGATCCCTCCACTACCACATGAGATGAGGAGTGGGTTCTACACTGCCTTTATGTCTCTCGTGGAAGCACGCGATCACGCGGGGTACAACGTGGAAAATGTGGTGTCCAAGCTCGTCATAAAAATGATATCGCAAGAATGCCTGTTAAACAATCCAGTGCAGACATTTGTTGACCTAACTGCGCTCTCTCATGGTCTGAAGCTGCCGTCTACACTTTTGGTCATGCTTGAAAGAGTGTTGGATAATAAGAGCGAATTGTTGCATGTAATGTCCAGAGACGCAAATTGTGCGACGCTTGTCGTGCGCTGGTTAGCTGTGCTATGTACGTTGGCTCAACACTTGCTGGACAATAGTTCAATTAGTGAGTTACATTGGTGTCTTAGCAGTTTTGTTATGCGGGCTCTGAACCACTTTTTTGACCTCGTGTCCTTTCCTTCCTCTTTGGTTCAGCAGGAAAATATCGGGGAACGATACGGCCCCAACGGCGAAGAATCCCTTTCTCAGTCAAATCCCACGATGCTGCTGGATTTTGACCCTGATCGCGTGGAAGCAACGGTGGTGTACGACCTTTCGGAGTTCCTCTACTGCATGTGCTGCGCCCCATGGAGCAACCTTGGAATTATGTATCACTACGAACGACACACCGTGGAGAAGTTCTTTAGTGGCTCTGTGCAGTTCTTTACTTTTCTTCCTGTCGACATGCTTATGTCTAGTGAAGTTGGGCGGAATCGAGTGTTCAACGCCATGCTCGCTGCACTTACCACGGACGGTCCAGTCTTTCAGCAGCTGCATCATCTTCTTGTGCGGCAGAACTTATGGGATCGGATTCTTCGTTACTTGACTAAGTGCCTTGCCTATTTTTATCTTCCGGTGATCCTCAAGTTGATGTTTATAATCGTGCATAATGAAACCATTAGTGGATCTGATGACAATCACGGGGACGCTGTGCCACAAACACCACCGTTATCCTTCTATGGGGGCTTACTTGAGCGAACTCTTAGTCTAGTGCTTCGCGAGGTAGTTCTGCTTGTGGCAGTGTCCCCGTACCTGGAAAAAAATGAATGCGTCCATGCATTTTTCTTGATTGAGAAATGCTTTCGGCGTGCTCCTGCATTGTGCACAGACCACTTTGTTCGTCTTCTTGATGTGTGTTCTGCTTATCATAGAGTTCGCATTCGGCATATAATGAACAGCGTCCGAGAAGGGCATGATTTCTCTACTTTAATGAATCTATACTTAAGGTGCTTTGGCCAGTCTTCTAAGGTATCTATTCTGGCAGCATGGTAAAGGGAGTGTAAAATGGTGTTTATTTACATGTTCTTTTTGCCTGAAAAAAGACTAACGAGAATGATAGCGGAGCAGTATGCTTAAAAGGGTTTATTGCATTTGATCCTTAGTCTTTCCACATCATTGAAAGTATTGATATGAAGCAATGGTGATCGGTATTATTTTTTAATCCTCTTTACTTATCTTCATTCACAACTACATAGGGCTTTTAAGGATTTGTTTGGATCGGTTTGCGAAGGATTCGCATTATCTCATTCTGAAGGACATATAGTAGTCTTCTTATCTTGGAAAAGTATGAAATGTTGTTTCGGGATATGGAACTGAAATGGGCAAAAAAAAATAAAGGATGTATGCCATTTGGGCTACATTTCAACGTGTTCTAGTGACTGGCTCATTCTAGAGTCTTCACCACCGCTCGTCTTTCTCCCCCCTTAATTTTGAAGGAAATGAGTGTTTGATATGATATGGGGACACTTTGTGTTGATGCAATCATATTTGCTGTTATTACTTCATCTTGGTGCTCGCATATCGAAGTGATCATCACATTCACACGTCGGCTTGTTAGTTGTGTGTGTACGAATTTGTAACACGAGAGAAAGTTGATCATGCATTTTGGTTCACGCACATGGATCGATGGAAAAGAAAATGGTATACTTTAATTTCTATCTATGCTTATGTGGAAATTTATCGCTGAGTAATCTGGCAAGTCAACACAAGTCATGCGACGGCAGATTATGGGTTCATATGGACCACATCAATTTTGAGGTTGATTGTCGATTAATCTTTTGTCTTACCTTAACACCAAAACTTGTGCGTGCTTGTCGCCTCAAGTCTGAAATTATTGTTGATCAGTACCGAGACCGTTTGCATTTTACCTAACTGCTATTTTATTGTATTGCAATATGAGATTAATAAAATAAAATAAGAAAGTCAAATAAAATAAAAACAGGTGAGTTTAAGAAAAGTCCAATCTGAAGAGGTCGGAAAAATATGGCATCCTTCTTTGCCAGGTCTGGGTTGACCCTTCTGAGGGGACAATCCTTAACCCCAATTTCAGTAATTGACGCCTTGGAGGGGAAGAAGTATATTCTTGTCTACTTTTCGGCACATTGGTGTTTACCATGTCGTATATTCACCCCCAAACTGCGTTCCTTTTATGATAAGTACCACCGGGAAAAACAATTTGAGGTTGTTTTCGTGTCTCTAGACAAATCTGTGGAGGGGATGCGGGCCTACATGGAAACTTCCCATGGCAACTGGCTGGCATTGCCCTTCGACGAAGCTAAGGCTATTGGGAAGGAATGGATGACGCAGTACGACTTCCAGACTATCCCCACACTTTTGGTTTTCGAAAATACACCGACTGCCACGGCTAAGGATAGAAAGGGGTGGACGCTGCTGACGCGGTCCGGCCGTGATCTACTGGATGCAGATCCAAGGGGTGAGGGGTTCCCTTGGCCAAACGGGGATGCAGAGGTTCGGGAGTACTACCGCGTCTTGAAGCGGAATGTAATGCTTACGGTACTGTTTTTGATTGTGCTAGGACTTTGGCTGTTTCGACTATACATGTAACCCTTGTGTTTATCTCTGTAAAGAGATGTTCTGTGAAAGAAATAAGGAGTGTATGTGAAAAAGGAGGAAGGCAGCTACATAGAGACAACAACACATTTTAATTTCTATATTCAGTATTAATTTTGTATTTTTGGTCGGATACCGTGAACCCTTTCCCTTTTTAATAACTTTATAGCTCGAATAACGACACGTACGATCATTCTAGTGTGTTAAGTAAGGAGGTTGCACAGTAGCCATCGCGTTAAGCAGTTGTATTTCTGTCGTGGTGGTGCGAGAAAGGGGAAAGTGGCGTTTAACTATTGGATTGTCATATTGATTCTTCTTGTGTTCACTAAGAAAACTACGTTCTAGTACACAAGATTCACAGCAGACGTAAAATACATTTAAGGGCATTTTCACTTCCTCATATATACTCATGGAGAGCATTGACAGTGATGAGGAAGCTTACTTTGATGCGCTGCACGGTTTTCATTCCCATCGCGTCAATAAGGGAAAATTTGAAAGGTAACCGACAAATACATAATCTTTATACATTTATGTGTTTGAATAGGCAAGTTTTTCTGCTAATCTAATTGCATCAGAAGGAATTTTATTCATCAAGCTTAAAAAATTGCTTTCAACTTCGTTAGCCTGCCTAATTTTTTTTAAATTTTACTTTCGTAGATTACCAGCCAATAGTTTTTTTTGTTCCGGATTAAAGATTGAGAAGCAAGCAAAAGGTATCAAGTCTAACTTAAGAAAAAAGGATAATCACAAGTCACCAATTCATAAAGAGTGTAGGTGAATTTTCATAAAGGGCTCCTTTTCACTGTTCCTGTGGAGTAGCTTTCAAGAGGGCGAAAAAATTAGGAAAGTATTCCTTTATTTTTTTCTTTCAATTCAGTTGAGCTCATACGTGCAATTTAAGGGGTGAGTTTACATTATTGCTACACTCAATTTTCCAGTTTAATATTTATTGTGAAGAGTTATATATAACTCCTTAATGAGGCTATTTTTTTTATATTCTACCTGTTTGAGGTGAACATTAGGGTACAGTTTTAGTTTGCTTCAAATGTATTTACTAAGATATTTGCCGATTTTATTTGAGTTCGATTTTTCTTTAATGATAACCAAAAGTATATGCAGGTGGACTATTTATTATTTGCTTTCACATTCATTTATTATTTAGTATTCATTTTAAAGTGTTCTGTATCGCCAACGGCATCTGGTCTACTCAGAGTATTACTACTGCCTTCTACATCGTCGTGTCGTATTTTTTTTGTCTTTGTTTTCGTTATTTAGAGATGCACTTCCTGTCTGTACCTTCTGCCGACGCGGACGTATTTGTGAGCATGCGCGAGAAGTTGACATAAGTGGAGCCGATCACGGTGCCAGTCATAGATCCACGAAAGGCGCAATGTAATTAAGCTGCAAAATACAGATGGGTGAGAGGCTGCAGGTAACGAAGCAATCTAAGGTATAGAAATTGTTGTCATCCCGGTTCAAAATCATATTCGGCCGCGTGTGCTGCTACCAAAGGGTGCTGTCTTCGTGCCGCACGAAGATGAAGAGGTGTGTATCGACTTTAGAAAGTTTCCTAGGATCCCCGAGGTGGAGACGCCGCCACCGACCGAGGAAGAGCTCCGCTGCATGATGGAAGAAAAAGGCAGTGTGGAATCACTGGAGTTTCGTGGTCGCTCTGAGTACATCGAACAGCATGGCTCTACACTAAATACACCATCACATCTCTACTCCAGTTGTTTTTTAATCAAGCAGAGTCAACACGGAGCCAACGCTAGGTTCTACGCGTCTGGCGTGAGCAGTTCGTGCAGCATGCAGAGCTTTTATGGATACACGGCTCCGTACGCGGAGCCCCTGCATAATTTACGCAAGCACTGCCGTCATAGACAACAAACTGTTAATCCATTTGTCGGATCTTTCCAGGGGGATGGTGCTCGACATGGGGGTAAACCAAATAATAGCTAAAACTTGGTATGTTGGGTGATAGAGAGTGCCTCTTTTGTCTTCGATGACTGAGACCCGACAAAGGGGGCACCGTATAGCGGGTAATTTGTGTTGCAACCTATGAGGACGACTTCTCCCTGAAGCTGGAGCGAATCCACGGGGAGCTACCGCTAAACGGCTACTCTGGCCCCAGCTAGAATGCCCCGCATGGACTCAGAAGTGTGTGGCCCCCTCCACACCCACACCGCACTCCTGCGTGCTATACCTCGTAAAGTTTCTTCCCATCTCACGAGCAGCCGTTTATCGTCTCCCGTTCCTAGTGCGTCATCTTTGGAGACCATTATAGCGTACCAAGCTCACAACAGTGGCCACGTTGACAGTTCATAACCCTAAGGGAAGGATGGGGAGCCAGCTACATCTGTTTCTACAGCCGACACGGACTCCGTGTTGATCGAATCCATGGCGATATTCCTTTTCTGTGGGGCAACATACAAATGTGGCCTCGTTTATGAGGGCTCCAAGACGTAGTTGCAGAGGTTAGGGACAGCGATGTGTAAATAGAAAGGAAATATTAAACCTATTATCAATCCGCTTCCAAAGAGTATATCTCTGGAGGTACTTTCAGGTTTCAATAGAAGGGTTGAAATAATCTTTTTTTAGTTTTATTGTTTCCTGACGATGTATTCTTTACTCATTCTCCTTTTTTTATCTACTTATTTATGTTCTCACATTGGAATGAACAGCATAGTTTTCTCGAAGATCGAGTCAGAGACAACCCACCGAAAAGTATCATTAAGAATGTTATTGGTATGCTAAAAATTTTGATCATCCTTTTGGCTTTTTCCTCTCTTATGGCACATTTAAGCGTGATGGAGTGTAATAGGATGAACACCGTTCAATTACATGCTCATACTCAATAGAACTGCTTATATTTCGCTCCACTATTATTAAATACATTTGTATGCGAGAATGACCTCGAATGAAAATTGAACCTGTACTGCATGCAGCGTGAGTCCATTCTAAGAAATTACGGAGACACGTTGTGAATTCAATAGTAAGTAGGGTTCGTTTTTTTTTTGCTTTGTATTAGGAAACGTTTCCTAATGTTTTATCAGATTATCTCGGTGTCAGCAAAAGACGATATCTTAGTGATGTAACAATGCTTTTATTGTTATTCTGTTCAAGATGACCTTTACGAGGTTTTGGAATTTCTTTGATATTTTGAGGTATGTCTAATTTTGATTCATCTTTCCTTTCTTTTTTTCGATCTATATTTTTTCCCATATTATCACTTTATTTAGTTAATATTCTACTTTTAGGTTTTTAGAAGCAGATGTTGTCTAATTTTAACAATTTGGAGTTCGTTTTTCAGATGTGTACAAGTGGAGTTTTTTCTCTCTTTTGTTTCGTAATACTATAGCTATCACTATAAAAATAGTGATATCTAAGTTTGAGAGCCTTAGTACACAGCTTCGTGAGCTTATTGTTCCCATAGTCTATTGTTCCTTTTCCTGTGGAATTGTTTGTGTTCTATCTTTTTTTCTTGTAATAGTTTTCTAACTCTCTTCTTCATGAGTTGTTGCGTAAACATAAGGGACCAACACATCTTCTGCTTCTAAGTGGTGCAGAAAAAAATTAATTGTGGGTATCATATTAATTTTTATTTTCACAGTTAAGACGAATAAATATATTTTACAAAAAATACAGAATCCAAATAGCGCAAAAATACATAGATAAATGGGCAATGTGAATCTTGCAATTGGCATTGTCTGTGGAGGAATGATGGGAATATTACTAATTATTGCGGTCGTTTTCGTCCTTTTACTTTACTTCAAAATTATATCATGCGACGATGATCTTGAGGGTGATGGGAGAAATGCTGAGTACAATGGCCTTCCATTGCGTCAGCAGCTTCCATTTTTGACGGAGGAACAACGCAGAAGACGGGAAAGGGCCATGATGAAATACCGGAGGAATCTTGAAAAAGAAGAACGCCGCAGAGCCCGTGCTCTGAGGTATGAAGACCGGATCCGTGAGGAAGGACTTGATGAGGCGGAGATGTCTGCTTCCAGCCCCACAAGTACGCAAGGTACCTTAATCACAAGGCCACCAGAATCGGAGAAGTCCTTGGAAAACTCAACAATAGTTTATGGTCATAGTGAATACGTAAGGCATCGTTCGCTCACCTTGATAGACTCTGATAGCTATCGATCTATGGGTTGCATCCATGTTTGTCGTATGCTGTCCAACTGCGAATCATTTGGAATTCTAGGACGCAATAATAGGCATCACAGGAAGCTTTTTCGGAGGCAACGTTACTTTAGTGATCCAGGAGAGATAGATTCTCTGAACCTGTGGGATGTCGATGGTCTTGAAGACAAAAGCACTGACATGGACAGTGTATCGAGTGCCGTGAGTTCCTTACCACGACCCCCTGAAGAGGTGTTGGGTAATAACGCTTGCACTACCACTATTCCATTCTCCATAGCTGTAGATCAACCAATTCCTCATGTAAACTTACCGGCACATGCCCATGATGAGGATCACATGGATCGTGCCGACCGAGGCGAACGAACAGAATCCTGTACTAATGTGCCGGGCGGGATTACCTCAAGACAGGACCGAATTAGCACAAAACATTTAGCCTTTTCCCAGGACGACCCATTGCACGGAGAAGGGAAGGCTAACTTTGGTAATTCAGGGAACGAAGCGGCGACAACAGTAGTGCTGGTCACAACTTCTAAGACGCCTCCTCATCCACCCGCGCCCGTATTGCAAGAGTCTGCCAATGTTACGCAGTTGCAATCATTCAAAAAAAGGTTCACAGAGAAGGATGCTCGACACAACATCTCTCTGAGTGGTTTTTTTACAGTTTCTTCCCTATCTGCAGCGCCTTTGAGGCCTACTACACCAATGGCAGCACGCAATACCCAAAGTCCCAGCGAAGGCCTTTTCAGCACTTTACCACAAAATGTCCCCGATGACCCTCGTCAATTTCAGTGTGCTAGCGACACTGAGGATACCCCTATGAAGAATTTACCTTTTCCCTCTTCATCGGATATATCAGACAAGAATGTTGACAATTTGGAAAATACAAGCCATCCTAAGGGAATTGACCCCGATTCCAGGAGTGTACCTGTGTAAATAGCAACCACACAAAAAAGGGAGTCAAACTATTGAAGAAATGGCAGTAATGATATACGAAGAACTGTAATATCAAATCTCTGTCCCTTATAGGTTTCAAAGTCAATATCCAAACAAGGTCTTTCTATTCCAAAACTGTGTGTGAAATAAGTACGAAACTGTTTACAAAAAACCAGAAATGAGTTCACAATAACTTGACGTGTATAAAGCTCCTAATATTTTATGAACTCGAACTGTGGGTGCTCATTTTTTTTCTGTGCAATCATTGTTGAATAATAGTGAATAGCTAATGCCGATGCAAGTTGAGGCGTCAAGGCATGCGACAAGTGCATACTTTTATGAGTTATTTTTATACCTTTTCTGATGTATTTAATCTAGAAGTGCACAAATGTCACTATCCTATGTGTGGCTTTGCTGAGTAAATTCTCTATGCATATCTATTATTTACATTCAGAGTTGAGTTCTAAAATTTTGGTCGACTTCAGGCTAAAGTAAAGTGTAACTCCTAGGAATACTAAAAGCCAATACATGATGCCTTGAAAACGACGATCCCCACGTAAATAAGAACTATATCTGAACTGCACATGTTTATTGATGCTATTTTTAATCATTAGAACTGCTTCTATCATAGCGTTTTAAAGTTTTGGAGAAAGCTTTTAAATGAGCTACTCCTTAACTTTTTCTCTAAACGTTCCTCTTGTGTTGATATGTCTGATATTTTTTGCATAACGGTGAAAAATTAATATCTGCAAACTTTTGTTTTTACTGTCGGCTACTGCGTTCCATATGTGCGCTTTTGTGCATCAAAAAGAGAGCGGTGTACAGAATAACTGAGTCTCTTCAATAAAGAATAGAATTGTCTGCCTTTGATTCTATTTACATTTCATCTTTTTACGCTACATAGAATTAACCAAGTTTGGGGTTCGCGTTGTGCGCATTCCGTCGATTGCTGAAGTGTTAGGACTAGTCTCGCTTTTTTATCTTTGCCACTGTTAATGGCATATAAGCAAGAAATCCTAGACAAATATAGGTCGGATGCGCTTGCTGGTAAGCCATTTGTTTGTGCTACTTGTCCCTATTGCAATGGACAGTGTGATTCATTAGTAAGGTATATCCGCCCCTCAACCAAACCCGACAATCCATGGAATTTTTGGAACCATGTCCTTGGACGTAAGTATCAGCGTGCTCAGTCGAAGATGGCGCGCCACAACCTTGGTCTGCGCGACCGTGGTCTTGAGCGCGGCAGCGAAGGGGAGCATAGAGCGGATGTTACCATGCTTGTTCTGGGACCCATGGTCGACCAAAGCGAACTGCCTTTTCGCATGCTCTGCAGGGAGTACGGCGCCACACTGGCCTACACACCAATGCTACACTCCAAGAGTTTCCAGGAAAGCGCTGTGTATCGCCGGAAATTTTTTACAACCACCTCTATCGAGAAGGTTAGACACTGCACAGCATCAGCCGCGGCCGCGGAAGCAGCCGCACGGAGTTCTACTGAGACAGAGCTCCCGTCTACTCGCGATCAAAGACTCGGGCAACATCTAGGCTACAAAGTGGACTGTAACCGAAGTCTCGATCGAGACTGCTTGATAGATAGGCCGTGTATCGTTCAGTTTTGTGGTCATGACCCGGAAACCGTCCTGCAGGCTGCACGTCTCGCAGTGCGGGGAGAGCACGCAGAGCCGAATCCCCCAGGTGGCATTTGCCACGTCCCAGATATCGGCTCTCAGGGGAGTGCTACATCGGTGCGAGAGGCTAAGGAAGGCGAGGGGGAGCTTTATTATCAATGTGATGCGGTAGATATCAATTTGGGCTGTCCGCAGGGTATCGCGCGCCGCGGGCACTACGGCTCCTTTCTTATGGAGGACTGGGATCTTATCCATACGATCATTCATACGCTACATGTTGAACTAGAAGTGCCCGTAACAGCTAAGATACGTGTATTTGACTGCCCAGACACCACTAACTCAACCTCGGTGGATCCAAATGCGGAGGTTAAGTTCGATGAATTGCTTACCATCTACTACGCACAAATGATTCGTGATGCCGGGGCGCAGCTGCTGTGCGTGCACGGCCGCACACGTGCAATGAAAGGACAAAACAGTGGATTAGCCGATCTCGAGCTCGTCCGACGTATTCGCTTAGCGCTGGGTGGAACCATTCCGGTTATCTCCAACGGCAACGTAATGTGTTACCAGGATGTGTTGAAGAATCTCGTGCAGACAGGATGCGAAGGGCACATGTGTGCAGAACCGCTCCTTTGGGATCCAACACTCTTTAGTGATCCAGATCACCCTGTTTTCTCTGGACGTCTTTATGGCGCCAACAAAAAAGCTCGTTTAGCTGCTCTGAATACTGCATTGGACTACATAAGCTGGTTGCGGCGTTATCCAGTTGATATAGGCATGGTTAAAACACATCTTTTTAAGATGTGCTATCACAGCTATGAGTTGCACACATCCTTCCGTGATTTCATGTCTAATTTAAAGACTCGTCTGGATATGGCTCACGAAGATGGCATCAGCGCTATGGATGCTGTGCGGGAGACATGTGACCTTCCCGAGGAAAACATCCATGAAGAGGACGTTGACGTATTTGTTAGTCAAGTAGAAGCCATTGAGGGCCACCTACGAGCCCTTGTGAAAGTTGAGCTTTCTTGTGATGTAGAGGAAGAGCAGCCCAAAACTGCTAGAGAGAGAAAGGCGGAGTCACGAACACAGCACGTCGACGTTTTTGAAGAGGAAGGTTGTCTTGGGTTTGACTTTTAAGCCACTAAACCGCGCCTAAGGGCCGGGTTCTAATTAAAATGTGTCAATACTATAAAACATTTCATTCCTTCCCATGGGCCTTTTGAAAGTGCTAGGTTGTGCTTGAATCGAAGCAATGAACGTGTGTATTGAAAGAAGAAAAAAAAAGTTAGAAACTTTCTTCTTAATTATCCTTTTTCTTAGTTTTTTTCTTTTTAGATCTTAAAAAATATTGAAACACAATTATTTTATAAGGTTTAAGAAGGTGTTTGCAATATAAGAAAATTTTTAAAACTTTTTGTATCCTTTCTGGCGATTGATAGAATATACACATAAATAATCAATTATTTTGTTTCACTTGTTTGAGTATTAGTGTTTCTTATATCAGAACAAAAGAAATTTAAACAACTTGATAAAGGGTCAAAAGCACATTTCTTTGAGCATAAGAAAATGGCTTACTCTACATTTTTGAGGATGTACTTTAGTGTTAGTCTCCCCCTGCTCATGCTGATACTGCTGACCATGGAGTTTGGTAGCTTAGCGCTTGATGTTACTGCAGCTAACCCCGCACCACGTGTCGGTGGAGTACTCAAACTCCCTTCTGCAGGCCCCTCTGTGAGTTCCGCAGAGACGTTTTCAAGCGAAGTTCTTTTCAACCAATACACAGTGCTTGACAAAACATCCTGGAATACTTTAGGGGATCAGGTAAAGTATTTAGATAAATGGTTTGGAAAACCAATAACATCATTCACAATTGGAGAAGACAAACTTATAGGTGAGTCTCCAACATCGGACTCAGTGTGCGTTCACACACCTCCTTACATGAATTTGATTTATATAAGCTCAAAAAGAACCACCGCTGCGGTACGTTCATCATCTGCAATCACGACGAGCAAGAATGCCCAGATAACGAGCGATGATGCAGTACAGCCACACACAACTTCGGCCTCAAGGGTTGCGGTGGGGCAAGAACAGCCACAAAAAGACGCAAGCCTCCGCTCGAGCTACATAGATCATATCGAAAGGACTAACCAAGGCATTTTGAAGAATTCTGTTATCGCACCACTGCGACTTCATCCTCTAACTCCTTGGAAGCCAACTACTCTAGGTTGTTTACAAAACGAAGCTCACGAGGCTCTAGTGTATCACGAAGCCCAACTCCATGGTCAGCAACGTGGGGAAAATAAGCCTTTTGTCAACGCCCAAATCCAAGAAACTATTATTGCCACGAATGAGTATAATACAATGATTCCCATCACGCTGTACGGCACTGGCACCACGATCGTCTCTTTCAAAGGCCACAAAGACTACGTCATCAACGTGGTTCTTCAACTACGTGGACACCGCTACGAATCTCCCGGCTCAGAATACAACTGTGAAAACACACGCATAACCGCACAACTGCGTTCATCGACTTCACCAGTTTATCGTGAAGATCAAAAGGGAACTTCCAAACACTCATCAAAAAGAGTTAAAGCTCCTCCTTCCAAAGCGCATCAGCTTCAAGACACTGACGATCCTGATGAAGTATATGAAAGTAATCAAAATAGGGTCTGGAGTTCCTTCGCGCAGTTGTTTGATACCTCGCTGCTATGTGAGGTTTTGCCAAGTCTTTCTCTTCGCATTCCAAAAGTGAAGGAGGAACGGGACTTTAGTTTTATCATCCAAAGCAATGTGCAACCCCTAGTACAGAACAGGTTTGTTGGTCGTGACGGCATCTTAGACCAAAGCAATATTTGCAGCATCCAGGTATACATCTCACAGACTCCCGCAAAGCAGTTGAAGATGAACCAGATAATTTTTGCTGTACTGATTCCATTTCTTGTATTGTTTGTGCCGCTTCCCTTTTTTCTACGACGCGCAGATATTATCCAGGTGGCTTCACTCGGTATAGATATTGTGGATTGTATTTGGTACCCACCATACTTATTACGAAGGATTATCATCACTGGGACTATTCACCTTAAAGCTGTTGTACAGACGGCCTGGCATCAGCGCAGGCGGAGGGCCCTTCAGAAGAGGCTTGAGTTGCAGCAGCGGGCTCTCTCAGCGCGAATGAATGCGGCCATGACAGAGGCCCAAAATGATTTATGCCGAAGGTGTGCTCCTCCACAGAAAGGGGTTGACATTCCCCTTGGCTTCCCGATACAACCTCAACAGGCGGGGATCGCATCGTCTTCATCAGTCTTGGCATCGCCAGAGGTAACGGCAACAGCGAATGAAAGTTTTCCCAATGAATGTGGAAAGAAGGGCTCTTCCGTAATTTTGGTAGATCAGCCAATACGGAAACTTGATGAGGGTGATGAAAGCTCCAGGGATGAATTGTCTAGGCCTGTGGCTATATCCGATCCGTCGCCCACGGTTGTAGTCGTTAATTCAGCCTCCCACGCCATCCCTAATGAGGCTCTGCCTCCGCGGCTTCATAGGGAGTATGACGAGGCGGAATACGTCAGTGGCGATCTCTCCTCCCCAGCTCTCCTCGGTAAGCAAGGCATTGTAGACGGCACGCCAACCAGGCGCGCGTCCGCGGCGCCCTGCACGACTCGTGTCAACGGCCCGACCAGTCAAGAACTCCTCTTCGCGACTGATTCATGTCGTGAAGGAGGAGGAGGTGATATTGATGAAGACGAGCGCTTCTGCCGGATATGCCGCGATGGTGAGGAAGACGAGGCCTTGGCGGCCCCCTGCAACTGCACCGGCTCCGTGCGCTGGGTGCATCCTTCGTGCCTTGACCACTGGCGGGTTGAGAGCATCAAGCGCAATATGAACAACGTCAACACGTGTGAGATATGCAAGAGTGCCTTTAAGATAAAAATTCGGCGCTCAACCCTTATATGGCAAAGCTGCAAAAGCATCGTGTACACTATTATCTTGATTATCGCATGTCTGATTTGTTTTATGGTGACACCATTGATAGCATACGGAATCTTTGGGGAGGCATCCTGCGTTGCCGAGTATCACCATGTACCCTACTCCATTATATACAAATTGGATGGCGTCATGCTCTCATTTTTTCTTTACGTTGAGATCGTTCTTTCGGTATTACTTGCACGCCTCATCGTTTACAGTTGGTTTCGCAGCAGTGCAGAGGTCGAGGCTTACGTCGCCGAGGTACACGTTGTCCCACGATTTATGACATGGCGCAATGTGCTAAAGATCGCCTTAGTGACTATCGTTATAATTGCCCAGGCGATTTCTCTTGGGTACTTGATAAAGTATTTCATGTACGTCACAAGCGACATTGCGTGGAACTGGGAGGCATCTCCGCTGCTAGGGGGTATAGTTTTTGCTTTGTTTATATTTTTAGCTATAGGAGTGAGTGTTTCACTAAGGGAGCAGTGGATGCAGGCACGAATTAATCAGGGGCGGTCTGTAGCGGCAGACGTTGTCGTGGAGGTGTTGAATGATAGCAGTGGACCTCGTGTGAGTCTAGGAGTCGAGGGTACAGGGGTTACAGAGACTAGGACGGACTTGGAGTCGCACTCAGCATCACTTGGAGGGGGATCCACAAATGGGAATCAAGGTGGTATCGCTGGGCCGCCCCTGCAAGATTCTCGAAACAACAGCTTCCCCCACCGAAGGCCGCCGCTACAGCATCGCTCAACACTCACCTTCCCTTCTCAGTAGTTTCCACTTGGAGAGGTCAAGAGACTACTCAGAAATTCGTAGAGCGGTACTTGTAGTCCATTGAAATTTGATGGCATGTAGCAAAGGCTGTTGTTGTGGAGCTTCTGATGACGGGTCTCGACACACTCGGGTTTCAAAATGATTTTCATTGCTGAGTAATCTTTATAAAAAAACATCCTAATGAATTTGTTTGCTTTTATTTGGAATGCAAGTAGCCTGAAGTATATGTGTATTACATTTTTAGTACTTCATTTAGGGAAGAAATGTGGTTGAAAATATTTGCAGTAATTGGATTTAGTGCAGTGTTTTAGCTATCAAACTAATAGCCGTACACATATAAGTGCATAAAGCAAATAATACTGTCAGCAAACGATGGAGCAAATAGGAACTTCTCTTAATGATCATGGAGAGGGTTAACTGAAATTAACTGAGATTGGATAAAAGAATCCTGTTTTAAAGTCTTTAAAGGATTCTTATCCTTCCTTGTATCTAAGTTCTAATTTTTTAGTATTGCGGTTATTACTATTATTTTGTTTTCTAGGTATAAACGGCTAAATCAACAACAGTATATGTCCCTTTTGTTTGCATTAATTTTTTTGTCTATAGGACATTATCTTTGATATGGTAGGGAGGAAAAGGAGGCAGGTGATTTTTTATTGGTTTCTAAATTCTGTTTCCATATTCATCTGACATGTAATCCTTTAAAGTTTCTCTATCACTTATTATATTTTCCACTACAAAGTGTCTTTTTGCTTAAGATCTATCGAATATGAATAGTGTTACTGCATATTAAATAATTTTTAGTCTACAAATTTGTTTGTGTCTGTATGTGTATATTTATTCATGGAGAGTACAACATCTTATTCCTTTACACCTTTATTCACTGCTCTTTCCCTCACTCTTCTTATCGTTTATTCTTTTGTTCCTACAGAAATTGTTGTGTATCATTGCATCTTTTACTTTGTATCTACTTATTTACATTTATGCGTGCATAACCTTGCATCAAAAGCGTTTTTTTTTTTGGCAAAAGCGTTAAGTTCGTGAAGTTGGCAAGGTGGAAGGCATCCTACTGGAGAGACAGAGGTCATAAATCCATCGATTTCAAAGGAGTGGCATCGCAGAGGTTACATTCATTCACAGTCAGACAGACCTTTTCCGCTGACCTTTTCCTTGCTACTTGCGAAGATTCGTTTCAATGGCTAACCACGGCTTTCAAAAGGGACAGTGGAGAGGTGAAGATAATTCTCATGGCAGTCGAAAATCTCTCCTCGAGGAGAACAAGGCCGTCAAGGCGAGCATCCACGGCGGATGGCCTTCCTCACTGGAGTGCTTTAACGAAAGAGGTCTTGGGCCTGACGTAGCGGCCTCACGTTCGCTAAAATTTCTTAAGGATGATTTTCTATCCGCCCAAGTTGCCCCATCGCGTGCGGAAAAGTTTCCCGTGTCAAGCATGGACGCCAACATGTATAAAAAATTTAGTTGGCGGAGTCTACGTGATGGGAGGAAAAAGAGCTTATCCCCAAGCTTGAAACCTGAGGTTCGGCGAAAGGACCGAGAGGCTGGCGGCGGTAGGAGCTCGTTTTATCGCAAGAATGTGAATCGTTCCCATACATCATCCAGGTTGTGTTCCTCACCGTCGCGTTCCTCGACCCCTGTGTGCGTCGAACGTTTGCCCAACTTGGTTTCTGTATACGAATTGTCTATAGGAAAAAGTTTAAATCGTGGTATGGATCAAGCAGAGAAGGATACGTTATCCAGTGGCTTACGGAGTTCCTTCCGTCGTCAGTCTGATAAAGTTATTCTGAGTTATCAAAATTCAGGGGAGCCGAACAAAAGCAACTACATCTGCTCAACTTTCTCTTCTCCGGGCTCTGATTCAAGGGGAAACGAAATATTACGTGGGAATATTCCGTCAGCAGGATCTGGGAGATCGATGAATCAGAAACAGGAGAACGGGGAGACTAAAGGGACTCATGATGAATCCAACTATTTAGCTCGCAAATGTTCTCTTTCACTTATAGTTGGCGAGGATCAAAGCTCCAATGAGGTGGTGTGGCGGACCATACCCACCTCGATAACGCCTGCAATGCGAAGAACTCCTTCAGGGATTTACTTTTGTAGTCAGTACAACAACGACAATATCAGGTTCCCATATCTTACGGAAAAGCAGCTTGGATCTAACACCATGGGCGATAGGTCTAAAGAGAGCAGTGGGGAAGTGGTGTGGGTACGCTTTCCGAGTCTGCTTCACAGGCACCCCACAACATCGTTCTTCAAGCGACCAGTGGTTTCCCATTCAAAGTCAGATGCAGAGCAATCTTTCCATGACTCTAAATACATCAAATGCTTCGATAATAACGGTGGAAAAGGTGATGATCACTTTAATAATCAGTTGGGCTGCGTCAGTAGCCGAGAAAAATTTCAAGTAGAAAGACTAAATAGCCTTCGTGGCAGGTCTTTATGTAAAGTGGATCCTAATCCTTGTAGGACGTGGGGGACAGACAGCTGTACTTCGGGAATTTTAGATGACTCCCTAATCGATGACCTGAAGTCAGAAAGTGCCTTGCATAGTCTGTGCACTATGGAGGCATCGAGCCTTGTCGAAGGACGGAACAGTTTTGTCGAACCACATATAGTAGCGAACAGGAAGGGAACTCAGACAATTGTGAACGCGAATGGGGTACCTGCGAGAGTTCTTCCCCCAATAGCGACTGAAGCTGATAGTCAGTATGACGTCAGAACGGAAAATTCCGATTTAGGTAAGGAATTTGCACCTTTTGCTGGACGTCAGGGTAGAGTATTGCCTAATGAAATGAAGACACTCGATACCCCCCTCCTTTTGACGGAGCTTAATAGCTCCCGCATAAATGTAGCGAGTGGAGTCAAAAATGCTAACAATATTGACCAAGATTCTTCGATTCCCTATTCAAACTCAATAAAAACCGAGAATATTGAGGATTTCGAATCCTTAAAACGAACGGTGGCTACATCAGGGAAATGCGCGGAAACGCAACAACCAGCATTTCCACATAAAACTCTCAGAACCGGAGGCAAGCTGGGGGATAAGTCGTGGGTAATCCGAAACCCCCAAAAAGACAAAGTAAAAAAAATCAATCAGACCACGATTGAATTACTTCGCTCTATATATTTAGGTGCACCAGGTACGCGAGCACACCATCCGCCGTTGCCAGGTAGAGTATCTCCCCACCCCTCGTTAGGACAGCTGAATAGAAATCATGACTTCGAAATTGAGTCATATCTTGATCATTTTCGTGGAAACACCGAGAAAGTCAGGAGGGAAAGCACAGGAAAGAAATCGGAGAGGTTTCAATCCTTAATTAAATCCGAGGACCCTTTTAGTTATCTTCTGGGACTTCACGGGTTTTGGGGTGAAACAAATTATTACTAAGTAAATCATTGTAATAGTAGAGTTATACATGTATTATATGAGAAAATGAAGAAATCGATTTCTACGTTATTTTGTTTGCGTATCTTTTAATTTAGCTTACATTCTAAGTTAAATGTCTCGCGTATCAATCTGTCTTTCTCTCTTATTGGTAGCGTCAACTTTCTTTAATTTTTTTTTC